GAGTATTTAATACACTAAAATGAACACGTTGCCTTGTTTTGAGTGCACAGTCAGGCTTCTGTTTTCATCCTTGGTGGTGGTTGTTATCGTCAATGACACATGAATTTTGCTTATCCTGACTACTACCCGTTTGGGGCATCCGAAAACGAGGGTAAGTCATGCAATCCGGCAATTGTAAGCCACGAATGATCCGAAGTAAGTCCTTCACTAGACAGAGTTGTTCTATAGCATATACTCTACAATCGGGACAAATACACCCATTACATTTACTCCTGGTACATCGTGCTCGTAAGTTTCTACTAAACTGATAAGATGTTTGGTAAATAGCGTAAACAGGGAGGAAATTAAATTATACTAACATACGGTATCAAAATATCACTTTCAATCCTGTCTATCACGGAGTTACAAAAGCATGGAACATGCGTCTGCAAATTTTCTGTCGCAAACATGGCTCAGTAACACGAACGAAAAAAATACGACCCTGTTGACACTACTGTATTCTGGCCTTTGTTTTGATTAGACGATGGACTCATTTATGTACAGCGCAAAGCGAACGTAAACAAAAGGATGGCAAATGATTATACAACTGATCGTTGGGTCCTATTGACAGTGAGAATGAATGGAAATCAGGCAGAACCAAAGCGTGCTACTTATTCAATCACTGGGCAGCTGACCAGACTGTTTCATCTGTCTATAAACCATAAAGCACAAATCATCATTGCAAGTTTGTTGTGACTGTTTGTATTTGTTCATACTTCAAAGAATTTGACAGCTGAGAGAGAGGTATCCCAACGGAGGCTTGCTAATGGTAGCGCTATAGTACAAACATACTCATACTTAGCGGATTTCGATCCAGAAGTATCCGATACAGGAGGCTAGTGTAACTTTGCTCCAGTAGCTTAGACTCGTGCTAATTATCTTGCATCAAGTCAGTATCGCTTGCGGGTCAAATCTGATACAAAAGGAGGATTTCTTCATGGAGACGGAGGCATATCAGTGATCTGTAAAAAGTCACAGAACATTATTTAAAAAAGAATTGAAGCAGTATAACATCCATAAATGGGAAAAATGAAACTTTACTCTCAATCTTTGTGTGAGTTTGTGTACTTGAGTAAGTACAAACATTAAAAATCAATATGAGTTCGGAGTTTTCAATTCTTCATGGCAAAAGTTCGTTCAAACATGCAATGACAAGAGATAATTACTGAAATTAACGAGTGACAAGACAATCGAATGCAGTAAACGAAGTCAACTGGGCAAACAAACTCCATCTATTTGAATGCCAAGAACCTTACCGTACGGCATCGACGATTTGGCCCAATCAACTTGCTCGACAAGGGGCTGTGCGATCACAACTGTAAATAGATGGCTTACAGTGAAGCAACGTCAATTAGGCCCCGTAAGCGGTACTTGAACTCTGACAAACCAGCCATTGAGATTCGACCGATGAGACTTGGACATATCAACTTTATTACTCATAAAGGGTATGTTGTGTCTCGCCAAGGCTATCATCGTAACTGGGCTTACGATGGGTGTGTTAACGATCTCAGTTAAAAGTCAGTTGCGGGTAGTGGAAGCCTTTATTGGTAGCGTCTACCACACGTGGATTCAAGTAGTGATAAACGTGCCCTATTTATGGAGCTAATCATAGTCTAGACATTTGTCCGAAATCGGGGTTCCGAGGCTGCCGATGGAGAGAATGCACGAACCAAGTTGCCCCTGTCTGGCCGTTACCCTGACGACTACGCATCCAGTACTATCGGTTAAATGTTGACCCTTTCCCACGGTGGCGGCTGACCCCAATCCATTTCAAATTCATATCATGGGATTTCTCAAGAGAAGGTTAGGCTCTCCGAGATATCATCCTTTTTGAGATCTGTATCCGCATACGTGGGTGTTTCACGATTTCCGTACGTTTCCCGTCACATTGTCAAAATTGAAGGGTTTCGGGTTTGGTATTTTCTGTTGTGCTTCACCTGGCTGTAATAACCTCGGCAGACTGAGGGTCTCCAACATTGTGGTACTTTTTTGGCTTAATTTGCGTGACGCAAGCAGACTTCGGACTGTACCTTAACACCTCGTCTTTGCAGGATTCTGCCAGTCACCCGGCGGGGACCGTCGCTACCACAGCGTCTTATTAACAGTGCAAAAGGAAGTTACAAAGCTACATGGCACCAGTAATCTTTTATTCTATATTCCAGATTCGTTCAGTGTTGTTCGTAGCTGGGCGCAACAGATTAAACCGCACTCGTAACTTCTCGGTCATCAAGGTCTTTTCTGGGGAAACTCCCTTCGGCGAATACGGATTCGGACAGCACCCAAACGGAGACAAAAGCCTTTCGATGCTTTCGAGGTTTCTCCCTCCCCCTTTTGATTTTTGGAGTGACCCGCTTGAAGACATTCACAAATCTCTTCGCTTGGTCGTTTGATTGCGGGTGAAAAGAAGAGGAGCGGATGTGGTTCACGCCGTTCTGTTAGCAGGATTCCAAAAATCGTTGTGATATGAACTGAGTACCGTTTTCGCTGAAAAGCGTTTCGGATAAACCCAAACTACCGAAAAGCTGGCGGAAGTTTGCGATTGTTGAGGTTGACATAGGGCTATATAAGAGGAAAATCTCGAACCATTTGCTGAATGCTTCGGTAGCAACAAGGTAAGATCGACCGTTGATTGATTTTGCAAAGTCAACGTGAATACGCGCCCAGGGTTTGTTAGAAATTGACCAACTGAAAAGCTTGGCCTTTTGGATGAACGACCTATAGACTTACCTACGACCTACATAACGTAAGTAACATGAGTAACTTCATGCGGTTGATTCCCAAGTGTCCGGTGTGCAATCGCTGAAATACTCTTTTCTGTAGCGTTCTTGGAATTACGTTCTTTCAGCGAAGAGGATACAACCGCTCACAATGGACAACGAATCTTTCTGTTGAAGGAATCGACTCCATTCGTTGGAGTGGCATGAATTTGGTCAATGGGTGTGGTGGTGTGTGTGACCTTCTTGAGTAGTTGGTCGTGGTGTGTTTACACACCCTCCCTCCCAACTTAATCAGTTGTCACTAGTGTATTTCGTAAGGTATCAGTAACGGGGAATCTGACGCTTGGTACCACCGATATCGAAGCTCTGGTGTTTGAGAGTTGATAAGACTCGACAGCGTATCCGCTTGACCAACGGATGTAGTCGACTGGTAGTACTTCAGAAAATCGTAGCTGAGAAAGATGAGTGTCCAACGTTGAAGGCGATTGGTAGTATAGACTGGAACACTCCTTTTGGAGCCGAAGATTCCTATCAGTGGCTAGTGGTCGGTGAGTGTGAATTTTCAACTGTAGAGCATCTTATGAAACTTATTCACAGCGAAAATGACAGTCAAGACTTCTTTTTCAATTTGACAGTAGCTACGGTCTGTTGCAGTTAACGATCTGGCGATATGTGAAATGGTCTTCTTTGATCCATCTGGAAATTTGTGACAGATGACTGAGCCAACTCCGCAGTTTGAAGCATCGACAACCACGATGATGTCAAGAACTGGGTCGAAATGCGTCAGAAATAGGTCTGAGCCGAGCATAGACTTGACACAATCGAAGGCGTTCTGCTATTCCGTCGACCAATTCCATATGTTATTTGGCTAGAAGTTGGTTCATTGGGGCTCGGGCGCGATGCACATCAGGAAGATCCGATCGAGAATGGCAACAACTAGCAGGGGACAATTGTCACTGGATCTGATAACACCTGCAACATCACGAGGTGTTTCTGATTGTGGGGAGCAAGAAACTGGTCTTATTTCATACTGCAGCAAAACTAAGGTTTGAGGTTTATGTGTAAACTGACATTTGTGGTGGTTTTGCTGAGCTTAGAGACGGCACTGACGCAACCGAACGAACAACGTGAACGTTGTGTGGCGGAATTACCTACCTTCCCCATCACCGAATACTTCTTAAGCACACAACTTATCGGACTCCGTAACATAGACTTCGTGTGATTAATACCTGGGTTATTGATTTCTGTGACCTTTGATCTCTTCAAGCTTTAG